TGAATTTAAAATATGCAATTTGATATGAAAAGCAGGTGGAGACAATGGAAGAGATGCATGGAAATACTGTAATCAACTGATACACTTTCTAAAATTTGTAAGGAAGATGGTTTTTTTATTTTTATGTTTGTTTGTCCTTGTTTAAAAAACAAATAAAAATTGTTTAAATAAAAAAGAAAAAGCTCCTGTCATGGGTTGTTGGAGGGTTGGGTATTTTTGGGGGGGAGGGGGGCTTACTGCAGAATAATATGAAACTGGTGCTTATTTATTTTTGCAAGGCTTCCAAGTAATATTGCAGCCAAAGAGAGAATATAGTGAATGAACATGTAGAAGATGAGCTTCATCAAAAGTTGTCATATTTGCTAAAGAAAATAACACAAAGGCCTGAAAGATTAGACTCTCAATTACATATTGTATGAGGGGTAATCAGTCTTTTCTACTATGATTAATGATTTGGGGAGGGGGGGTTCCCCCTCAATGCAATTGTTTAGAACAAAAATATGTAGAAATCAAGTTGTTTCAGGAAATCATATAAAACTGCACCTTTCAAGCCAGGAAACGAAGTCAGAGATGGATTAAAGTAAATGTTGCAAATTTGTTTCAAAATTTTGTGATTAAGGGTTCCATGCTCAGAGTTTAAGTTAACAAAAGCGATTAGGCTAACATTGATAATCTAAATAATTAACTTCACTAACATGAAGTGCTAAAGGTCTCCTATCAGGATATATAACAGGAGGAAGAGAGGCAGGTTTCCTTGGTTGATGCTTCCCTATCAAGCTTATCTATCAATGCATTAATGACTTCCATTTTTATGGCCTTCTAGAGCAGTGTTTCTCAACCTTGGCAACTTGAAGATGTCCGGACTTCAACTCCCAGAATTCCCTAGCCAGCAAATGCTGGCTGGGGAATTCTGGGAGTTGAAGTCCGGACATCTTCAAGTTGCCAAGGTTGAGAAACACTGTTCTAGAGAATAGCACCTGATTAAGAATAGCACCTTATTTCTCTAGAAAACATTGAGTGATTTCTTATTGTTGTGTTCCTTGTGCTATGTTTTGATTTTATATACTGCCTAAACCCATAGGTGGCACATGGAGTCATATTTGCTGGCATGGCAGCCCTCAGCTCAGCTGATTTTCAGCCTTCCGGAGGGCTGGGGGAGGCAGTTTTTCATCCTCCCCAGGCTTCAGAAAAGCCTCCGGAGCCTGAGGAGGGTGAAAAACAGGCGCAACAGGTCAACCGGAAGTTTGGAAACTATCCTTTTCTGCCTTCTGGAGCGCCTCCAGGGGTCCGGGGGAGGCAGTTTTTGTCCCCCCCCCCCAGGCTTCAGGAAAGCCTCCAGAGCCTGGGGAGGCTGAAAATTCATGCACACATGTGCGCAGGCGGTCGCATGCGCATGTGCAGGTGGGTGGGGCACAATTTTGGCACGCCTTTAGAAAAAGGTTAGCCATCACTGGCCTAAGCCCTCTGAGTTAGTTGGTTTATCAATCATGTAAATAAACTACCAAGAAAACAAATAATTTGCAAGTTTAATTTAGGCATCCTAAGCCGTTTTCAACACTCTGGTAACAAGAAGAGAGCTAGTGAAAATTGCATAACAGTATCAGTCAATGTTTTGAATATGATAGGATTATTTAAAAAGTGAGATTATTTAAAAACAAAGAAAACTTGTGTAACTTAAAATGGTATGATTTCATGAAAGCACTTGCTTTAACTACTTACATAATTTGTAGCCCACCAAGACTTTAACTTCAGATACCACTGTAGCTTTGGTCCCAGATTTACAGCAAAATCTTTGCCAAGACCTTCCATTCTTTTAAATTCTTCATTGTTCATAAGTGGACGCACTGATTCTAAATACTAAAACCATTAAGAAGAAATGAGTTGGGATCAATAAAGCAAGGTCTATCTGAAGAACATCTCTCCACTTACACTGTTCAAACAAGAGCTAACAGCAATCTTCTAAATAATAATTTCACAATACAGCAGCAGCAACACATATCTATATTATTCCCAATTATATCAAGATGGAAATCTATAATATGGAGTCAGTTAATTTAAAATGATAGTTTCAATTGTGGCTTAAAACTTAAGATGGTGACTGATTTTAAGTTAGTTTTCCAATTCTGGACTATGGTAATTGATTTCTTTCTCTTAGCCATAATACCTGAAGATGTGAACTGAGTTTGACCTTCAACATTGACTGCTAAGCTGTTTTTTGAACTGGATTTCCTCTTTCTAACTGCCCAAGGTCATAACCATTTAGTCCATGGATAATCAATTTGGATCATTTTCAGTAGGAAAAAATACATCTATCATCTTCAAAACATCTTGAGCATTATTTTATAACAGATATTCTGGATAGCTGAATCACTCTCTCATTCACTCACTCTCAAACATACATCTGGGCATTTGAACACTTGGATATCTGGTCTTTAATAGTATAAATACAATGCAAAAACCTGATCAGTGAATAACTCAAATAATAATTACGACTCTACTTGTATCTGAAATTAACAAAATAACATATTGGGAAGGTTTCCCCCCCCATCCCACCCTGGTAGAAGTCTTTAGGTGAAGCAAATCAAAATTTGCATTTCATCTCAATATAAATGTCTAGGGAGAAAAGTTTCAAATATTCACCTTACCCTATTTACAGTATCCTTTACAGCTGGAACAGGAAGGCGTGGTAGTGAGGTCTGAAAACTATACAGCATTGGTTTACGTCCAGAGAAAAGTTTCACAAGCGCCTGGAAATAAAACAGGAAAAATAACATTTTGCAGACTAGATGAAAAAAGTATCTTCACCAGAAGGAGTGTTGGCAAACTATTTTTCCTCTCACCATTCTTTTAATATAGAAAGAGCATTATATATTAACATAATATGAAACAACATTCAGGATATAGTTTTATATTGTGCTGATATATTGTTTTATTGTTCTTTTTACTGTAATCTGATTCTATATACAGTACTTCAACTTGGAAGAAACATAACATTTCAAAAATAAGCCATTGTGTCTTTGCCCTTCCTTTTCTGAAAATCATGGTCAGAATAAATTATGAATGTTATTTTATAAATCTATGGTTTTTAAATTTTAAAACTGTTATCCTCTTTAATAAGAATATTTTTGCCCTTGGCTAAAGTGGGGCAATTCCTAATTCTACCTGAACTTTAATTACATCTAATATTTCTCTGTTCTCTCTCTACCCCCCACCCTGCCCCCAATTTTACTGCTTCAGGAAGAAAACTTCATTAATTCTGCAAACGTCCATAGTATTTACACTGACAGTGCAACATAAATAAGACTTTCCAATTTTTTTCACAGACAACAAATGTTAGTAGTACAACTGCTGAAGGACAGTATATTGGAATGAGTACAGACATTCTTTCAGTGGGAAAAGTTTTGTAAGTGTAATTTCCACTCTCACATTGCTCTGCTTCTCCCTGAAATTTTTTAAAGTCTATTTACTTTGGACACATTTATGGCCTTTACCACTGGCTCAAATATTCCTTACTAATTGTTCTTGAAGGACACATCAGCTTGACACAGCTTTCCTCTCATGCCCAAGCCAAAGGCAAAGTCAGCTTAGTTTGAATTTTTCTAATCTGATGTTGAAGTACCATTTTGCACTTCCACTGTAAGTTCTTCTATAGGCGTGAACTGCACTACTGTGGCTGTAATCATGATGACCTGACCAATTTCAGGTGCTGTGGGCATGCTACCATCTTTTTGCTTTTTGTTGTCTTCTATTCACAGCCATTTTGGTTTATGCCGATGGGCTGACATGTCACAAGGAGAGGAAGAGAAGCACCAAAATCACCAGAGAAAGTTGTAGACTTTGTGGGTCTTTGTATAGTTCCTGTCTGATACATGCAGAGGGAAATGCCCAATAGGCAGATCCCCCTGCAGGTCACACCAAGATTCTGAATAATGTTAAATAATTTTTAGATTGCCGATAAGATGTTTTAGTTTTCCATTTTATCACAGTAGGGAAGTTTTTACTCTATTTGCTTATATCTACTCATATAGAAAATATTCATAAATACAAATATCTGAAAAATATGCCATGGCACTTTTAATTCTGGCTCATGAAGTGCTTACACTTCTTGCCATACTTATCCATAGAAAGCAATGGCTCAATACAATAGGCACTGCCTGAATGGGAATTATTTTTTTTTGCCTCCAAGTAGGAATTCTCATTAACATGGCATTATAAAGTTGTCTTCCTAAAAGCATCACTATCACAAAAATAATGATACTCTAATTTCTGATATTTTGCATAACGTAACATTACAAGGATAGAGATTAACATGTTACAATAACCATCTCCCTCAAAGCTATTTTTAGGGGGGAAAATATTAATTAGAAAAATTATGAAAAATAAGGATTAGAAGAAAATCTTGAATGATCAGGACAATTTAATGTTTAAAGTAAAACAAATGTCCTTATCCTGGTGTCCCCTCAATGTGCAAGACTTCAACAGTGGAAACCCAGAACATCTGATGAGATTTAGGAAGGCACAAGCCATCCAATTATGTTAATATTGTTCAAAAACGTAAGGGTTTTAGTCCTTATAGAAAGAAAGCAATTATCAACTGAATTTCTCCACACGTTTTTCATTTCAGTAATGGTAAATTATTTTCTGTTTATAAACAGGGGTAACAATCAAAACAGCAGAATGTATTAGTTACAGTTGTTAACAATGCCCAAGCATAGCATTGTTTAAACAAAAAAGATGTAAAGCAATAAACGATAGGCCATGCCAAATACTCAGCCAATGGAACATTAAGCTATGACAAAGCAATGCTCTGGGCCTTACCCTTCAGATACAGCCTGTATTCAAATGAAAAAGTCTTGGAATTATCTCTGAAGTAAATTATCAGACATTTAGTATGCAACTGCTTTTTATTATTCACAGAGGTATTTAAAATTGCAGTTACTTTCATATATATTCCATTTATATTCTACCAATAAACACAAATAGTAGTTTGCATGAATCATAGGAAGTAACTGCATATAATCCTGCTATATAAATATTTCTAAGCCCGTGCTATATGATTGAAGCTCCTAGTAGACTACCCATGACCCATTAGGACATTTTTCCTTTCACATATAATGTAAGATAGTGTTGTTTGTCTTCTCCTCATGACCCTTAGTAGAGCCCCAGTGAAACTCTTCCTCCCCCTCTTCCATCTCCTCAGTTGACCAGTGCAGTTGCCTGCTAGAGGGAAGCGAAACAAAGGGAGCTGTGGACTGCAACGAAAACTGCATCCCTGATCCCCATCCTAGCATGTCCCCAAGATATTCTCCCTCCAGGGAGAAAGTGGATGTACCCATTGACTGCCGGAATCCCCCAGCCAACCCTATTTTGCCAGCAGCTCATTCTTGCCTCACCACCCAATACTGTTAAGATCAGGACTTGCATCTGATTGGGTGTAGGAGTCAAAGGGATTTAGGAAAGAGGGCAGGGATCTGCACCTCCCGTCTTCTTTTACACCATACAACTACCGAGAAGTGTAGTCAGAAATTACATGATTTGCTGAATTTCAATCATCTTGAGGTACATGGTGCTATCATCACCTTAGAAGACTTCACACTTCCCAATGGTTTCTTCACCAACTTGTGGGAAGCTTGCAGGGAATATGGGAAATGATAATCATGTGACCGCAGCTGACTGTGCAGCAGTGCAGTGATACTGAAAAGGCCACAACTTTTCTAAATTTCAATTCCATGGGAGTAATGGTTTTTGGATGCTTTCTGTTAAGTTTGCCCATTTGAGGAACATTTATTCAAAAATTATTGCCCTATGAGCTACTGTTTTGCCCAATTGAAGATTACAAACCAACAAAAAGACGTTTTACTAGCATATAGATAAATAGATCTGGTATGCTTTACAACACAAAAGCTGGTTTACAATATAGGTAGTCTTCTATTTATGACTAGTTGCTTAGCAACTATTTAAAATTCTGATGGATCCTCCAAAAAGGTACTTATGACCTGATTCTGAACTTCTGATGGATGGGCCCCATAGTCATGTAAGCAAATTTTGGGCCCTTGACAACTAGCCCACGCTTATGGCTGTGCTGTGCCCCAGTCATGTTACCACGAATTATATTGTTTTCATCAAAAACCAGCATTTACTTCTAGTTTCTGGCAAAAATAGGCCCAAAGTGAACAATGGGTCCCCTTAACAACCATGGCATTCTCTTAATAGCCGCTGCAAAAAAAGGTCATAAAATCACATTGATCACTTTACAACCATCACTGCAGGCTCAGTTACAGTTGGAAGTCGAGGACTACCTCTAGCTAAGCAATAATATATATTGCATTCCTAAATTACAAAATTATTTATGTACTTATGAAACACATTTATATGGTTCTCCAAGTCACACATGGTGAACTCCACAATTAAAATTCCACAATATAAAAATCCCTATCCCCTGGGGGAAACTACTGTGATTAATTTAATTAATTAATGTTAAATACTGTAGACTTTAGCCACCCAAATGTTCTATGGTTAAATGGATGGCCATATAAATCCAATTAATATAAAATAAATAAATAATAATAAATACATGTTTTAAATAAATGTCACCATTCTGAAAACAAATCCTCAAATAGTGGTTATAGTAAGGCAAGGTTATATCAATGTCACTTTCAAGTATATGTTGAAATTATCTTACCATCCATATCCTGGTTCCTGTAGAAAGTTTTCCATGCTCTGCAAACATCCAACCATGGTATGAAAGCAACATCTTCAAAGAGTAGCGCATTGAGAAAATAAGAGTCACCCACAGCCCTGTCCCAAACAGAATCCCACTGACAATATTCTGTGTTTGATTGGACATATTGGACATATAGCCGCTGTTTAAAAAAAAAGAAAGAATGAGAGGAAATTAAAGCATGTCAAAAATTTCAGAATTTTAAAACCATAATATACTAAGAAGGGTCTGTTAATCAAAAAAGGAACACTTATTAAGGGTAAAAATTGCAAACTTCTGCAAATTTATCAACCCACTGATAATAAATATATATTGTCCCAAGAGGGGTGGGGATAACAGTAGGGGTGGGATGACTTCCAGTCTATAGATAGTTCTATTGGTTTTTAGAGAATACTTATTCAAAAAGATTTTTTTCCTTTTTTATATATAAAAATGGTACCAGAACAAAGTTTTGATTATGCCTTTTCCAATACTTCTAGAAAAATTGTATTGCAATAATACAATTATTTTTCAATGGAGGTATACAGCAAACATAATGTATTCCTCCATCGAAATATACAGCAAACATAATCCCCAGACCTTAATTCTAATCATTGACAATTATTTTTAAACATTAAACAGAAAAAGCCACCATGACTATCCTCACAACTCCATTAAAAATATTTCCGTTGTCTATATCCAAAAATGAAGGAATCGGAATGGTTTTATTTATCACAGGCTCAAATTTGGGGGCAATAAGGGCAGACATTTATACAAAGAGTCAAAATTTAACAGTACTCTTTTTTTAATATCTTCCTCTCCAATCTCTCTGCACTGTGGAAAGGGGAGGGAAAAAGTTGCTTGCTTGACTGATACAGAAATTGTTTGCTTTTTTCCTCTTCCTATTTCCATCAAGGGTACAGAGAGCAGAGAGAAAGAAATGTCAAGATTTCTTGTCTTCTAAGGATCAAGAACAAATGCCATCACCTTGGCAGTGGGAAAGGACAATTCAAAGGAGAGGCTGCTTATAGAAATCACATTTTTCTCCTGCCTATTATCCCTCACAGAGAAATTAGAAAGAAAGAGATTTCAAGAGAATGCTGTAAGGCTGTTTGTGTAATGTGGCCATGGCTTCCAGTTCCAGGCTGCCAGCACAATCACAGGTTTCAATGTGTAAAACAGCTTACACTCTTGCAACCCCTTTCTTCCATTTTTCTCTTCTCTGCAGGAGAGGGAAAAAAACACAGGTTGGGCACAGGAGAATGTATAATTGACTGTAACAATGATTACATGACTGAGGGATACTGCAGAGTTGTAAATGATCATAAAGAGGCTGTAAAGTTATTTTTTCAGCACTATTGTTACTTCAGTCAACTTCAGAGGTTGAATGATCAAGGACTACCTGCATTTTATTATGATTGCAAGGGGAGGGGTGTATTGCCAAGCATCCAAATTTTGTTTTCACGTTCAGAGGCACTGCAGTGGCTGTAACTTTGGGTACAAGGTCGTAAGTCCCTTCTTTCAGCATCATCCTAGTTTCAAACAGTCTCTAAGCAAAAGGTGGTAAATCGAGGACACCGCTATTCTAAAGCAAAAATTTGAATGCTTCAGTATCCCCAGCAATGGCAAAAAGATTAATTGATATTGACAAATTAAGGCCAGAAGTTTACTTACGTTGTATCCAGGGTGCGATTGATTTTAGCTATTAACCCCAGGGAAGGATCTATTTTTGCATACATAGTTGACATTACTCCTACTACAACAATAAGCCAGCTGGATGGGCTAGCAGGATAGACTCCTGTGATTATGCCATTCTAGAAAAAGAAGATATCCATACTTTATGTTCTGATTTATTTAAACCATCATTTTACATTCTCAAAAGAAACTTTCAAAGAATGGACCCAGCACATTGGAAGACATTACCATATGGATGCAGCCTGCCTTGCAGTATTTGTCTTCTTTAGAGATGTGTATTATACGTTGTTAGCAAAAATATTTATTGGAATGGGAAGGAAAAGGGCAGGCAATAGGTGAATATTGCAATGCTGGATAGTTGGCAGTTTTGGAATTTACAAAAAAATAGCAGGGAAGTTGCAATCTACATAATTGTAAGCCATGAAATACATATATGTAATGTCATGAAAAACAGACTGCCCAAAATGATGTCAATGAAGATTCATTGGCAATTGGACTTATTTTGTTGTTGCTTTGAGATGTTTTATGAACTGGAACAAGTCCAGTTGCTATGACTCAACTTTCAGGCATCCAAAATGATGTTACAGGATATGTTTTCTATCAGTTAAAAAAAGTCATTTAATGAATAGTGTGAAGCAAAACTCTCAATGGAAAGAAGGTAAGAAAAATACCAATGGTTGATTGTAATACAAAGGCAAAGAAATATACACATAGGAAACCTTTAAAAAATCTTGAAGCATCGTAATTATTTCTACAATTTCATTTTTCTTTCATAGAATTTAAAACAGAAGAGACAGGATTGTCCATAATTGTTTCATAGTTTATTAATAAATGACAAAGTTTTAAAGAAATCATGCAATATGGATGTGTAGCATCCTGCCCAAGTACAAATCTGTGTTTATCTCCATTACCTTGAATCTGATGAACTTCTTTTTCCAGGAATAAAGCCCAGATAGATAGATCTGCCTAAGTGCTTCATGGCTCATGCGCAAATCAATTCCATCTGGCGTTACTGTAAACTGAAACGCAACTGCTTGATGGGCTTCCGCCATTCTTAAAATATATCTGCCAAGTAAAATAACATTTTTTAAAAATCAGTAGCCATTTGGCATGAGGTATTAAATTGGAAACAAAATGTCAATGCTCCCAGGTAAACCATACAGAACATGTGAGCTAATTATTATAAAGCTATATTAACAGAATATTGAATACAAATTTTCTGCCACCACTTTTAATTGTTTCATCCATGATGGTGGGTTCTTCCTAAATTTCTCTCTCTGATTGCAAGCCAATGGGGGCTCCTGCCTCTTTTATCCAGTTGTTTCCTAGGCAGTATCTCTTCCTTTTGGTCATCCACAAATTACACAAAAAATAACCCAACATTGGCAGATTCATGCAGATCAAATATTTGCCATCTTGGGTTTTTCCAGTTGTTAAATATGACTCTTTTATTAATTGTTCAATAGGAACATAGACATGCTCAGTGTGGGTGGCATATAGATATCAATTAAAAGTAAATAGTTTATAAAGGAAAAAAAACCACTAAGTAGAGACAAAACCACAAAAAAAAAACTTTAAACTGAAGGGAATTAAGCAGTATCCTATCCCATGGCTGAGAAGAACATCACCAAAAATATCAGAAGTCACTCCAAAAATTATTGTAAAGATTTGTTAGAAGATCAAAAATATGCCAAGAATAACAAATAAAATTGTTTAATACAATATTTATTACGTAGATTCAGTGCTGTTTTACTAAAAATTCTTACAGTTCTTAGAAGATTTATCAAACCTAAAACCACAATATTCTTCTAGAATAATTTCTATATCCTGTTTGACAACAGCCTGTAGCCTCCAAAGCAAGCTCTTTATTCATTTGGACAATAAACACATTTTCCTCTATAAATCACAGTTTATTTCCTTCTTAAAATGTTTACATATTGCGGTTTTATTAGCACATAATAAATATCACATCTAATATATAATTCATTCCCTCTTCCTCGGCTACATGGATGCAAGTTTGCTTTTCAAGCCAATTCAAGGACTAATATTTACTTTCAAAGGCAAGAGGACAAGTACTTTGAAGGTATTTATGAAAATATTACCAAGAGCCTTTCTCTACATGTTTTTCTTAAATGTTACAATTAATTTTGTAAATCATCTAAGATGTTTTTGATAGTATGATTATTTGAAAAATAAATAAATAAGGGAAGACATCAACCATTGAAGAGATATTTTTATAATATTGCATCATTTGGAGAAAGAGAAATTTCTAGTTTGCAGTGTAATGGCACTCAACTTACTCCTTCATCAACCAGCCAATATATTTCAGAACTTAAAACACATAAATGTACAGGTAGCCCTTAACTCACAACCATTCACTTAGTGACTGAAATGGCACTGAAAAAAAGTGGCTTAAGACCATTTTTGACATTTATGACCACTGCATCATCCCTGTGGTCACGAGATCAAAATTCAAATGCTTGGCAACTGGCATGTATTTATGACAGTTGCAATATACTGGGATCCTTTTGCAGCCTTCTGACAAGCAAAATCAATGCGGAAGTCAGATTCACTTAACAACCATGTTACTAACAAGTGCAGTGATTCACTTAACAACTGTGGCAAAAAAAGGTCGTGAAAATGGGGTGTAGGAAGTTAGTACTCACCCCTCTCCTAGAAGAATGAAATATTCTGGGAAATATTAAAAAGGCAGAATATTATACCTCCCTGGATGAGAAATGGAGAAACATGGTTTTTTTAGGCAAGAAGCAGACTCTTTTTTAATAGCCACCACCCTCCTCAATAGCCTACAGCAGATGTGAGCACTTAAGAAATAAAGAGTTAGCTAGGTTTATTCATAAGCAAATACCCTCACCCAAGATCCAACAAAGGTAGGATTAGCCCCCAGCCATAATAGGAATTGCCCAAAACTCCTTCATTACATCATCACCCAGCAAGATTCAACCAAGCCTGGGACTCAAGACAACCTACAAAGTTACCCCTGCATAGCCCCATGGGAGTCTGACAACCAATAAGAATACATTTTTTACACAGGAACAGAAAGCTCCAAGGTGGGGCCCAAGAGAGGGTATAAATCTCTCTCCCTCTCACCTGTGTACTCTTTTTGCCCAGGACCCCAAACTATGTGGCCCTGTCCACCATTAAACCATCTTTCCAAATAGCCTCGTGTTTCCAGTGTCTTTCTCCCCACTAGGAACTGAACCCAAATGGATATTTCTTCCAACAGGGACAAAACTCTCTTAACGAGCATCTTGCTTAGCAAAAGAAATCTACCATAAGACAGAGATAACAGCAAGATACATATGAATGTTCTGTAAGAGTTTTTAAGAATTTTCCTAAATAGGTTTTGAAAGCTGGGGGGGGGGGCTTGAAAAAAACCCAAATAAAAGTTAAGCTGTTTTCTCCCATCTTTTAATCCAGGTGGTGAAATGTTCTTCCAAGAGGCTTTCTTACTGAGAAATAAAACTTTATTTTCTAGGCTATTTTAGCTATGTTATACTGCACTGTTCTGGTGGTTTTCATTTTATTTATTTTTCTCGTTTTGACTTTTCAGTTCTATTTTTTATGACTTAGGTTTTATAAACGTTAAAAAATTAGAAACAAGCAAAAGGGAACAACCACAGCACGCTGAACTAGGGCAGAAACAGCAATAATTGACAGAATAATGCAATATTATCCTAAAATTCTCAAACATTCACTATATCAACAGTTGAAATTTCAGGGTCAAATTACTCTTGGATATTAAGGAACTGACCACTACACATTTTATACTGAAAAGTTGCTAAGAAAACAAAATATGGAAAGTCTTGTCCCCTTCAAGTACTTCAGTATTATGGATAGAGGACAATGAAGCATACATGATTCATTCCCAAGGTATACAGAAAAATAAGAGGGGGAGACACATTTGTATGCAATCTAAGATAGTGGCTTAGCTAAGATCTTTTAAGTGTTAAGCTTTCTAGGATTTCCGAGAGTGGTACAGTAGTGCCAACAAACTTACAGAACAAAAAATTTGAGAAGCCTTCTTTTAAAGATTTAGCAGCTGGATTAAACATATTTGCATGCAAACTGTACATATTTTATCTCTAGGCAGTCTAACAATCTTTAAGTTATGTTTGTTACCTATTTTTGTTTACTGTTTTGTCACACATAAAGCAAGTGTCCCATGCAGCTTCCCCATATATGAAATAATCCCACAAGATATTAATCTAATTACCAAAACCAAGGCAGACACAACTGTAATGTTGCCCAAGGCATTTCCTCACTCTCCAAATTCTTTTAACTTTGTGGCTCTGTATCATTCTGAATATATATTTTTTTCACAAGAACGATCTTTAACGTTGCTAGTCACGATTATGAAACATGATTTAAAAAAAAACTTTTTTTTTAGGGTAAAAAAGCAATTGCAACAATCCAAACTATTCTTTTTCAAGATCATTCTTTTGGATAGTAAAAGAGGTTTCATTGTCTACTGCAATCTTTCTCCGCCTCCACATTTCTGAAGTGGTCATGTGTTTTGTCCCAGAAAACTAGGTAAAAGGCCGTAGCATTACAGAGCATGCGTCTCAATTTAGAAATGCAATACAAATCACACTGTGCAAGGAATGCAGAAGTGCCATCAAATTTCTCCAGTCAGAAGAGGAGGAAACTTTTATTAGTACTGCTGACATATTATTTGGCAAAGCCCATAAGATCAGAACATGCTGGGAAAGAAGCAGAGTGAAAGAGAAAATACAAGGCTGGTGTCTAATTTTTTCATACAATAATATCAACATAGCTTTACAAATTTTCTATATCAGTAACATTTATCCTATTATTAGAAAACTTCTTGAAAAAAACACAGGGTGGTTCATAAAGAAAGAGTCCTACTCACCAAATGGGAACTAAGCAAGAATATATGCAGCTATTGTTTTCCTTGGGATCTATTCAACCTGAATTGCAAGACCAAAGAAAAGCATGTTAGTTCAAATTCAAACATCAGGACTAAGGTATAAGAAAAATGCACTTCCCAGCAGTAGGAAAAATAGACTGATGCAAAAAAAACCCCAGTATCTACATTGATAATATATGCAAATACTTGGATGACACTGCTATCTTGAAAGAACAAGGTTGTTTTTTGACTTTGAATGTTCTCTACAGCATACTGAGAAAGTTAATTTTCAACAGCTGTACATTTAGTACTGAGGCCCTAAAATTTCATAGTCTCACATTGATGAAATCTGCAATAACTGTTTTTTAAGAGTACAGGATAGAACTCATTAATATATAACACATATTACTGTAATTAAATAAAGTGAACAACGGTATTCACTTTCTTGATTTAAATAATCAGCCATATTGAACGTGCAACATTAGATCTGCATGAGGCTTCCTACAATTCCAGATCAGGCTGCATTTAAAAAACTCAGCCTCCAATTCAGTTTCTGAAAGCCGGTTTGTGCTTCTGTGAAACTAAGCGGGTTCAATTAATAAGCATGAATCAATAATGTGCCCAAATAGTTCAAATATATGGGAAAGTTTATAATCCAACGGTTTATGGAGTATATATATATTTGGAGCAGAAAATTATATATAATGTACAAGTTGCTAGTTCTATTTTTGTACAACGGAATCATTCCCATGAGCCGGAATGCTATCAGGAAGAGATCCCTTTGGAATAAGGCAAGTAAGAAATACGTATGATATGCTTAACCCAATCTTTTCTTTCCACCCGTTACCATTAAAACCTCGTGATTCAGTTTATGGAGGTATTCAGTAAGTCATCTGAACAGCTCTTTCTCAAAAGCAGCAACTTCTTGAAACCCCGCCCTTCCACCGCAGCAGGGAAGGATCACATGGCACGCTTAGAAAAAGTAGGTAAAAGGTTACGCTGATGCACAAAACACGACTGGACTGCAAACGTTCAGTTTGGTCTTTCAGTCTCTGCAGAAAACGAGGAAACGCTCCGAAAGTATCGCGCATTCCAAAGGCACGGAAAACAACCGTTCAAAAGCAATTCACAGCTAGCTAAGTTACATTCAAACCAACACCACGGCAAATCTGGATGCTAGGATCATAAAAATAAAACCCTGGTAGAATTGCTCCCGATTTTTTTCCCCATGCAGTGCTGCAAACAACGTAAGTCTTTAAATATCTATTTTTAAAAAAAAAAACATAATTAGTTACTATATTAGTTTCTAATAATTAAGACGAGGGAGACCTTCTGCTTTTGTAAATGCCAAGGGAGAGAGGAAGGGGTAGGCGCGCTTTCTGCCATGTATTCCTTGCCCTTTTCTGAACAGTATGAGAAGCCCACACAACAGCTCCGATGCTGGTGTTTGGAGGGGGGGGGGGGCTAGAGAAGATACCTGACCATTCTTGTCAAAATGTCTGACAAGGCTCAGTATTAATGGATGGAACAGCAAGCATTGGATCCCACCCAAGGAGCATGCTTTTTTTCTCCTGGAACTTTTATCCAGAAGTGTCACCTCATTCTTCCTTTAAAAGATCTGCCATCAGATGAATGCATCCATAGATACCCAAGAAAGAGAAGGAAATGGGTTTCTTTTCTTCATATTCTGCTCTGTCACACAGCCCACTCCAGCCTTTATTCAAGAGTAAGTCATACTGCATTCAAGGGATGCATCCCTATTGCAATATGCGTAGATTCAAAAAGTTATATGGCATTATCAAATTGGCCCAGAAGTAGCACCTGCTTGCCTCCATGCATATGACTGCAGCCTCAGCCTGCAGGTATCTAAACTATTTGAAATTAATGTTTTATGGATATGTTAAAGTCCCCCCCCCCCACCTTGGAGACTAGGCTCTCTGGGATTTATAGTATTTCACAGAATCTTACAATCGGAAGAAGCCGCTTTGTCATTGGACCAACCTTCACCTCACTCCAAGAATCCAAATTAAAGCATGGCTGTTTGGTCTCGCCTAAATACATCCCAGAAAAGGGAACCCGCCAGCTTTCTGATTAATTTATGAAGACTTTTGCCCCTAACATTCATTAGGAAACTGTTGTCCTAAAACAAGGCATTTTTCCATTAGTGATTTCTGCCTTTAGCGCCCCTGTTCTTTCTTACTGCTAAATAGCACTGTCCTGATTTTGTGTATGCAGCACTTGATAAGACAAGCAGCTGGCTGATTCCTCCAGCTGTGCTGCTGTCCATCTTCAGCAGGTCACCAGGCAGGAGGAAATCCATCCACCAATCAATGTGCTGCAGGAGAAACGAAGCAAGTCTCACCTCAGACTTCCATCTAGGTTGTGACACTTCTGTAATACTTGTTGAATTTGAATATACCAAAGTTTTTTAAAAACCCAGTTCAGAATTCTGAAAATAACTGATATACGAACAGCATCACTGAGTCCACTACTTCAGGGACAGCTTTAGAAAAATTCTACTGAAGGCATTTATTTGAAAATATCCAAATAGTGCGGTATTAAACATTACTTCTCTTCCCAATACCTACTCATAACAGTATGACAATGCCTCACTAACCATTTTAAAGCATATTTTCATTATGTCACATTTACCTTATTCCCTGCCTTTGCCTGCCACAAAGGCAACCTACATTTGAATTTCATTGTTCCGTTTAGAGGTAGGCCTTTCCCTCTTGACCCAATATTGTACAAACAATACTTGATGACATCTCATTAAAGCTGTTGACAAAGGTTTGGAATGTGCCTAGCTTCTATTAGTCACTGTTGTAGGCTCCCTTCCCTCCAATTGCTCGATACCACCATCCTTGGGCATTTTGGGGCATTCGCAGAAGAGACCAGGCTTTCACAGAGGCAGCTCAGGGAACAAGAGACAGATTTGAAAAGACAGAATTTAGACTAATAAGATCCATTGAGCTTAACGTACTCCTGAGTGGGAAGGTACAAAAGCCCATGAACTTTATGGGAAGGAAAGTTTCACTGCTCATGTTACAATCCTGAAGCCTGAGACATGGGAAAATAGGTTGGTGTTAACAATCTGTATTTGCACAAAAAAAATCCAATCCAACCTGTAAACTGCTGGATACTATGCAATAGCTATTCTGAACTTCTACATGAAATTATATAAATACATCCTGTATGCATTATGCATACAGTACTGGCTCATTATAGTTGCAATAATTACTTTGCCTATATCAATGATGGTAAACCTATGGCACGCGTTCCGGATGTGGCACGCAGAGCCCTCTGGGCATGTGTGCCATCGTCAGCTGCTCTTCTGGTTTCTGGCATGCAGCTGGTCTTTGCATACACTGGAAACCCAAAGACCAGCTGAATGGCATGCGTATGCGCTCCAGCCAGCTGGTGTTCGCGTTTCCGGCATTTCAGCGTGCGCATGTTCCAGTGCTGGACACTCAGTGCTGAAAAGGTTCGCCATCATTGGCTACATAGTGATTTTAACTGTTACTGTGAACTACATAATTCTGTGTCTCAGAAATTCCAGCACTTATTAAAAACATAAAGATGAAACAGTGAACATTCCGCTTGCTCATCTAGCTATTCCAGTTATACAAGAACCACTGTGTAGTTTATGCCCATTTACCCACATTGCATCAGGTCATAAAATCAATAGTGTGGGATAAAGCTTTAAGCTGCACCTACATTATATTAAAAGCACCTTTCTTAATCCTAAATATTTGTAAAATATTACTTGTTTTCTTAATATCATGTGTGCAATTGAAAGCTCAGGTATTTCTTGGCAATAAAACTGAACGTTCCAGATTTTTAAAGACTTATAGGGATAGATTTACCGTACACAATGACCTGAGATTATATATCATATTCTATCTCACATTGCATCTTTACACCTGCATGACTCTGTTAACCTAAACTCCAGAAATACATGTTCATTAGAGATCTAGCCAGTCTTTTTAAATTGTATGAAACATGCTCTTTTTAAGTGGACCAATTTTGCTTAAGAAAGTTGGCATATTCTGGAGATGAATCTTTTAAATATTCTCACTTTGTTTATCCAACTTAAAATCAATTGATTAATTTAAAATATGTTTGCATTTCTCTAAAACTTCAATATTAGCATCTTATGGATTATGGATTTTAAAATATGTAATTTCTTTTAGTAGTAAGAAGAGTTTGATATACTCTATATTGTTAGCTAATATTTTCTCTTTCCTAAATATAAAATTTTAAATAACATAAAGAAAAGGTAAAGCAGCTGCTCTAAAAAAAAGTTATATTTATAGTATGAACATTCCACGTTTTATATCATGATGTACTGAATTCAAGTCATTTGTTTTTAGCTCAACTTCTGAAACCTAAGGAAGAAAGGTTCATTTAAAAATAGAACAGCGGCTAGTTTCAAAAAATGTAATTTTATAATAGCATTTTCCTAATGCATACTCCCATCTACTTGGATATACACCCAAATCATTATGACTGAAATGTATGCTTGTTTTCATAAAATTTTGGTTTGAAAGGGGTGGAAAGAAAAGATAATGAAAGACTAAGTAGTTTAAGTAGAAAATGTATTTCTCAGTGTTTCATGCATTAAGAGGGGATTACCATATGACTGCTTTATCTTGTAAGGCCTTGCCATAGAAAGCTTTTCAACAAAAAGAAATAACACAGTTTAACTGGATGATTTAATATTAAGCAAATGCATCTATCCCAGTAGTACAGTAAATGTACCCCATGTGAGTACAGTAAAAGTTCCTTAATAGTGTCGTTCCTTGCTAGAGCATTTTTCAATTTCTCAACACAAATGAGAAGTGATGCTTCTGTGTGGGTTGGACTACATTTCCTACCATCCTCAGCTACAAACCAGGGGCAGGGCTCTGTGAAAAACTATGATGCCTAGGAGCAGAATCTTCATTTGACCTTCCCATCCCATTATAATTCTATGCCAAGGTAGGTTTCCGTGCTCCACTACTATAAAGTCTATGACCTAATGAACATGAAACCCCAAATGCTTAAGTCCTTGGGAATGTTCACCAATACTGTCTTGAAATAAAAATATTTATCCAAGCGATCATGCCACTTCTCGATTCATGTTCTGAGTTAGGTCACCTTCAATCCCTTCCCTTCTTTAAATAAGCCTGCCCCTCCTATCCCAAATTCCCCACCTCTAGAGAAATCTACTTTGGGGGAAGCCGAAGTAGACAGAGACTCTTCCAGGTGGCCTACAGTCAAGGACTGCCTGAAGCGGAGGAGGGAGGAAGACCCAAACGGTGACAGGCAGAGTCTGGGCAGAGTCAAAAGTTCCTCCAAGGTGAGCGCCTGGAATTCGCGATCCGTGTCTTCTTCACGCAAATCCCCAGGGAAACAAGCCAACAGCCGAGAGAAGCTGACTACTTTTTTCCCCGCCTTTCCGGGTTCAAGATCTGGTGGTTTTGTGCCTCTAAATTGTCCCCCTCCTTTTGAGAACCCCGCGGAAGGAGCTCCCGGCGGGGAAGAAACGCGCGTGTGCACACAATTCCGAGGCGAGAGCGCCAAGCACGCTCCAGACCCCGCCAGCCCGGCACCTGCCCATTGCCCAGTTTCTACCCCCGCAGCGGCCACACCGATTCCAGTAAGGCTCCATTACCGTCCACGCCAACTACTTCCCGCTCCACGAGTACGTCTCGTTTTCTGCAAAGGGGGTTTCTGCAAAGCACGCCCTTTCTTAAGAAAGGGAGCGGAAGGGGCGACAGGCGAGACGCAAATAAGGCAAGGGCGGTGTATGTATGTGGGGGCGGAGAGCGTCACTTACTGTACCGCTGTAGAGCGAGCAGCAAAGCAGACGCGGGAGGAAAGCGGCCGGACTCCGCGAGCGCCAAGAAGCAAAAGAGGGCGAGGGAGGAGAACCCACGCGCGGTACAGCGCCCCGTTACCGGCTAGGGCCGGATTGGCCAACCTGCCAACACAAGAGGCGGGGCCAAAAGAGGCGGCACGGCCAGAGGAAAGGGCGGTCTTACTCATCTTGGGTGGAGACTGGACTGCGGGCAGAAAGTGCGGCGAGGAGGGAGAGCAAAGGAAGGGGGCGTGGTCGGGGCTCCTTTCGAGACCTCGACAGCTACGTCCGCAAAAGGGAAGCTTTTCTCCTCCGAGTCCGACGAAGTGCCGCAGAGGTGAAGGAAGTGGCCTGCTGATACATCTCTCGCCTCCTGCTGTGAAAGTTTTATTAAAAGCATTGGGAACTTGAATGGGTGTCCTGCCCGGCGTAGACCGCGCAACGGGTCAGGCGCGGGTCAGTTAGAGATCCCGGCTTCAAGTATGAAAGAGAAGCCGCATGGAAGGTTAGCATTGCAAGAATGGGGCCAGTTGCGACTTGCATCGGTTCCAGAACTTCCCAGCCGACCTATTTTCCCCTCGTCTGAAGGACTCTGGCCTTAGCTTGTCCTTAGTCCAAGAATGTAAAGAATCTTAAACTGAACCTTCCAGTTCGAGAAAACTGGATTTTCCACTGTGCCTGGTGAGGTCCCGCCAGCCGCAGGAACATAGAACGGTGGGGGCGGTGCCTGCCTGGTTTAGGCAGGTGAGTTCAGGTGACTTGTGGCAAAGTGCGACCAAAAGTGCATCGTGAAAAAAGGGAGATATAATCGTACCTGCCCCTTTGGGGACCCGGAATATGCTATGCTAATGCCATTGTCTAATCAGGGCCCTAAAAGTGCCCATGAGAATAAGGGGCTTGATTAGCAAGTTGCTGGGAACACAAGTTCCCAGTTCATGGAGGAATATATATATATATATCTTTGAGACTAATTAAAAGACCTTTGGTCTCTTTACAGCAGTTTTCCAAAGTTGCACTGAATAAGGGAAGAACTGATATCCCGAACATGGGTAGGTATTTTAGGATTAGAAGGGTCTGTTGAACATATCAGGGACACTGTTGCAACATTGTTTGTGTTTTAAAGTAAATATTGTTTTATTAAGTGTCCCTATTTATTAAGTGCTTCCTACTGTTGATTACAGTTACATCAATATTGTAAAACAGAAAAATTGTTTCTAATTGGCCTAAAGAAGGAAAAAGTGAAGTTAATAAATGCCACCTGGTGAATTGGGGCTGAACTAAGCATTTGCTGCTATCAGTTTATGCAGTTAACAGCTTTCTTCACAATATAAGTTGACAATGAAGGATCCAGGGTTGGTTGTGAGACATATGTCAGGAACAGAGGCAATTTTGCCCATGTTCAATTATGCTAAGGTAGAAGCTCTTTGATTTCCAGAAGGCCAGGATCATACAGTGGGTTTCACAGAAATAATTTTACAGTGAATCCAGATAAAACTATATTCTATTGTTTATCTTCCAGTGTTTACACACAATGTAATCTGATTTTCTTGTTTACTGCAAAAATTGAGAACAAGTGCTCTTCATTCACTATTAGGAGCTGTCCACTTTAAAGTATTCTGTCGGCAATAGAGAATTGCTGTAGTTTGTTGACTTACAGTACGGTTTCCTTATCAAATTGTTATCATGTGTTTTTCCCGTTTTTGTGCCTCTTTTTCTCTAGCATCTTGTTTGATCTTATTGGCAGCTTAGATTTCATCTTTTCCTCTTAAAATATTGTCTCTCCATCCATCCATGAATCAGCAGAAAATATTGTCAACACAACCTTTCCAGTCTCCATTCTCTATTCTGCTCCTGCTGTGTCTTCTATGATTTCTTGCTGTTGAATAATAGTGTCCTAATTAATAAATGTGCCAGTCATGATCAGTAAATTGTTTCCCCATTTTGCTTTGCTTGCTATGCCTCCCCCCACCTCATGACCCCAACCAGTAGAAAATATATCTAAAGAGGCCATTGCAACATGAATGGGATGAGTCAGACATAGGATTCCTTCTGTCTTCTCAAGATTGGTTTGTGTTCCCCCTTCTCCTAATCCACACTTAGTATCCTTTAAATTTTTAAAAAAGGTATAATCATGCAGAAAGACTAGAGTAAAAATAGACCCAAAGAGGAAGGAGGCAGATAGGCCCCATAGGAATGGATAATTGAAGCTAACTGGCGTTGTCTTACTTCATAAGAGAATGTTAGGCATGGAGAAGGACTGAAACTGACCAATTTCCAAACACAGCATAGTTTACCAATCTCATTTTCTAATAACTGACAAAGCTTTGTGGATTTTATATACCATGAAGCTCTGGCTATATTATGTTGGCTTAAGCAGGAAAGAGCTGCTTTTATTTGGGTATACTTTAGCAGTTTTATTTATGGGATGGGCATGAGATGTGGGCAGCATCTTGCAACCCTAAGGGAAAATTCGACTATGGGTACATAAAGAAGTTTCATTAAACTGGATTAAACTGGCAATGAAAATAGGACAAGTGTGTCTTGTATTTTAGAATTCTACATTTTAATATTTTGCAACCCAGAGCCTCTAACAGATACAGACAAAAGTGGAAAATACAGAAATGAAAGCAAAACTATAGTACAGAATGCAGATAGAAATATTGTGCAATGGTCACCTCAAAATGGATTATCTAAAAGTAGTATAAACCTGTTATCTTGTTATTTCTAGGAATTAATGAATTAATATTTATTCATTTTTCCAAGGGTATGTTGTTATAGTAAAAGATAATGTGACTGTGATACTGTCTAGTTCTGCAATTATATTTTATCTAATCTTGATACAACTCAGAATATGAGTTCATTAGTCTCATGAACACATTGTTCCATTCATGACATTCCTTAAATGATTTAATTATCCACATTATAAAATTTTACGGACTTTTACCCTTTGTGACTCACCACTTGGATGTTTCTGAACAAGGAAAACTTTCCTTCATTCTTATCAAGAGGTGTGTATTCTTCTTGTTTAGTTACTACAGAGATCATAATAAGAGTTTCTGTTGTTAAACTTTTCTTCACAATAAATAAAAGTACTATTACTTCACTTTTCCCAATTCTAATTTACAACACACAACTGCACACACCAGAATTAAGACACTACCATAGCAACATGCTGTCTAATAACTGTTTTGAAAGTAAGTTGGCATTAACTGAATTATTAACTTGCACAAGAAGGTCAAAGGTATTGAAATTGTCCTGCGTACTTCCTTGGCCACTTACGTTAATAGGTTTATCTGCATGTTTGCCAATATGCCAGAGCTGCCCTTTGTCCTTTAATGTGATTAAAAAGTCGCACTACAGCTATTGCATGTTGAATCTATCCAGTGGATCAAAGGGTTAAGTCTGAATGACAACACATACATAGATACTTGGAGAAAAATGTTGAATTGTTTAATATTGAAAAAGTTACACAGATTATCTTTTTAAAAGATAATTTTTAAAAATTTTCCTAGAAACAATGAAGATAAGCCTAGCAATCATTAGGCTATATTTCAGTGTTGTGACCCAGCAGGTCCGTTTGAGCTGCTGATGGACTCAGATAGCGAGGAACCCTATGAGTCTGCTATGGAAGATGTGGAGGACCCTGGGCAGGGTTCAGACTCAGAGC